AAAAAAAAAATTAGTAACAATATAGGCAATAGGCTGTCATGAAAATTTTATGTTCCAGTAGTGGAGATTAGAGGCAGACTGATGAGGAAATACCTGGACAAGGTGTTGAATCTGAAATGTACACTAAAATTTTAAGTTTCCAACACAATGTGGCACCTTTATACAGGTTTTATAGGTATGTAGTTTGTACTTCCTAATGCTGCCTTGGCACATGGCATGGGTGCAAAGCATTCAATGTTCACAGGTGTCGGGACATGTCAACCTTCAAAAATTACATTAGGAGGGGCATGTTATAACTTATAATTAAACATTTAATTGTATAGTTAATTTGAATATATAGTAGAGTAATAATGTTAAAAAAAATTGAAAACCAAAGTATGAACTCTTTATAATAATAAAATTAAGTGATGACTTTTTATTGGATGTGTTTTTTCTTGGGATATCTTGTTTAGGAGTTGTAGATGCTGAGCTGTTTTTGCTGACTTCAGCTTGGAGCAGCATTGAGATATTATAAGGGTTGGAATGGTTTTTAGCATGCCCAGACACTAGTCTTACGGAATCCTAGTAACTAATGCATTGTACTATTTACTTACCCATTTACTAGTGGTCCAAGAGAACTGCATCTGGAAAAAGAATAGGAAAAGCTAAATTCGCCATACGATCATATGTCCTGGTCTGTTTTTTTCCTTTAACAAGGACATGAAACAATATTCTCTGTTAGGGAGACTTGGATTTAAGAGAGCATTATACCTTCCTTGGAAATACCTCTCTGAAAAACAAAGAAATAACCTTGCCATGAAACATAATATAGGTATCATGATACGAAGATAACCAAACAAGTATCAAAGTTTGAAGAGGACTAATGTAGTCATGAGATAAATAGCATTGCCGATCATGAAATTGCATACAGCAGACCTGGATCTCTACTTGGAGGAAGACTTAATATGCCATTTTGGTTGTAGCAGAGACTTGGGATCAAATCCCACCTTCACCAGGGTTTGTCAGTATGGGCTACCCCTGGTTGTGTAATTAAAACAACATTGGAAGAAGGGTCTTCTGTTTGAATCCATGTTTTCCAGCTTTCTGAGTCAGACTCCCTAGTATGCATCAGATAGCAATTTCAGTGTTCATATCCACACAACTATTCTGTTTATGCAGCATTTTCTTTTTCAAATATCACCTTAGGATACACTACAAAAAGGTAAAGTATCATGTGGGTCTCAAAACCCATAACTCAGGCCACCCCACTTTTAGGGTACAATTTATTTTTATCAATACTTTTTGGGTACATATCCAGCCTATTTATATGGGAATTTCTGTGTCAATACACTTGTGTTTTAAGTTTTTTCTTTCAGTTTTATTTGGTATCTATTATTGTAATAATTGTAAATAGACAACTAACTGGGTGCTACCCTACTCTGAATGCTAATGTTCATTTTTATCCAAAACAAGCTTAAAATCTGTTTTTCTAGGAAGTTTAGGAGCCCCGGTTACCGGGTAGGCATCTCTCTATTTAGTGCCACAACTCTGTGGCCTTCAAAAGCTTCCCAAGTTATATCCTTCTCACTGCCTACCTACATGTAAGGCTGTTGATCTTTTCCCTTTTGAGCTAGGGTTTGAATCAATAGTTTGAGGACTGGTTGAATTTTCAAAGGAACTGAAATAGTTGATACTTGTGGGGATTATGGTAATACTCAAAGGTTAAACACTTAGTAAAAGTGGTTTTTCTTGTAGGGATTTATTTTATTTTTATTTTTTTCTTAGCATCATAGAATGGAAAGGGGCCCATTGCTTAGTGTAATGGTAAAATCTCAAGCAAGTGTGAGAGAGAACTCAAGTCTGAGGGCAGCCACTTCGTGCCAAAAAAAAAAAAAATGCCAAAGGTGGTTAGGACCATACTGAGTCTACTCCTCCCAAGACCCCAGATAGCTTTTTATTGGCTGGGTAAGACCCCAGATAGCTGGGGCCAACATTGGGCAATGGCCATTTTTATACATTCTAATGGTTGGTAAAGCTAGCAACTATAATGTCTTGAATGAGTTCTTGAAGGAAAACCTCAAATGAGTAAGGATTTATAGATGGAGCATGACTTTGAACAATAATAGAATTCAAGTATTGGGGAAGTATTTATTAGTGTGGATAATAAAGGGGAGAAAAAAGAAAAAAAAAAGCGGAAGTTTTGTGATGGTCTTAATGTCTTATCAGAAAATTGCAGGGACAGGATGGAAAACAACAGAAGATAAAAGGGAAATGAGTAATGAGTAATGATATTTGAACTTTGGGTTTTCTAAAGTTATTTTATTGCTGAGAGTACATTATATCCTTGTTACATAAGCATTGTATGTTTATTATCTTTATATTTTCTTTTCTTTATATAACTTTTTCAGGCTATCCTCTTCATCTTCTTTTGGGATGGTTGTGTTTTCTCTTTATATTTATCTATTTTATTTTTTCATCTTTTTTTGGTGGGAAGTGGTTTGGATAAGGCTAATCTTTTCCCTTTTTTTTCTGTAAATGTTAAAAGCTTGAATTCTTTTGAAGAAGCATGTGATCGTTCATAGACAGTTAAATCCATGGCAATTCTTACAGTACCATAATTATTTCTGATCTGGTCAATGGTCACATGTTCTCACTTGAAATATTGATGAAGGCAAGTATCAAAATGTCCAGGACTTCATTTGAGCTTTCTAAATTCCTTATCCTTTTCTTCTGTTTTTTTTTTTTTTTTGATGTTCAATTATCTTCCTTAATTAGGTTGTCTTGAATGATCTACCCATTTATGTGTAATCTCATTATGAGTTTTTGAAATTCATAAAATGCTTTAGGTAAGCTTGGGACATATTGACAACAGAAGATTAAGTGCTTGAGGACATTTGTCAAGAGTTGGAACTACTTTCAATTTGTGAATCAATTTGCCTTGCGGTTATTTATTTTTTTAGCAACTTTGTTCTATTTGGTAATTTCAACTGTATGTCTTTGCTCCTGATGTTCTTTTGCAGTTCATGCCCAAGAAAGGAGGGACACCCAAGAAGAATGAGATCATTTTCATTGCTCCAACTGGGGAAGAGATCAGTAATCGAAAACAGCTGGAACAATACCTTAAATCACACCCTGGTGGTCCTGCAATATCTGAGTTTGATTGGGGCACTGGTGAGACACCACGTAGATCAGCAAGGATCAGTGAGAAGGCAAAAACAGCTCCACCACCAGAACCTGAGCCACCAAAGAAGAGAAGCAGGAAGTCATCAGGATCAAAGAAGGATACTAAAGAAACAGAAGCCCCTCCTGAAGGGACTGATGGGAACAAAGAAGTTCAGATGCAAGATGCAGTGGAAACTGAGAAAGATAGTGCTGAAACAAAGAAAGAGAAAGCTATAAACTTAGAAAATCAAGGTGAAATTGAGAACAAAAAACAAGAAGATACAGAGATAACCAAGGATGATACTGAAGTGGGAGAAGCTGCTGCAGAGAAATCCCATGCTGACAAAGCCAAGGAGGAAAAGGAAATTCAAATTCAAGAAGATGCAGCAGTTAACAAGGAAGATGAGACAGAAAAAGAAGTGAAAGCCGAGGAAGTGAAGGTTCCAGAAATGGTAGAGCAACCAAAAATAGAGACTAGCAAAAATGAGGGTCCAAATAGTGGTGAAGGGAAGCCAGAGATGGTTGTTAATGAAGTGAAACACAAAGAAGAGGCAAGGGAGAAAGAAAAGCAAAACAAAAYTTCATCGGAATTCATTGGAGAAATCAAGGAGAAACACTCAGAGCATGAAAACAATGAACAGCATAGTTCACAGGTGGAAGAGAATGGTAAGAAATTGGAGGGGCCTCTGATTGAGAATGGCTGCCGTGATGGTGAGGATGGTGAGACCAAGACTCAGGAGGTCAATCAAATTGGACGAGTTGGTGCACAGCAGCCTCCTGAACCCTCACCAGTCAGCTGCTGAGTATATTTCCTCTTTACCATCTTTCTTTCACTTCAATTGCCTACACCTAGTTCTTTGGATGACTGTAATGTCAGTTTCCTTGATTGGGATCTGGTTTTCAGCTGTATCATGGTAGATTAGGCCTCGGATGCATCATCTTTATGCTGCATTGGAAAGAACGTAGGTTGTACCTTATAACAATGGCACTAGTATTGTGGTGTCGAAAACTACTACTAATATATTACTACTGTACACGACTACTAATCTCCAAACTTATGGACAATATGCATGACCTATATGGTTTGAAATTTGGCAGATTTCTTTGAAGGGAAGAGTTGCTTTGTCCTGATTAAAGAACAAAAATGGGATACAGCAACATAGCATGCTTCTGGGATGTTGTTACAAATGTGCTAAGCATCATTCACTTTCTTTAAAAATAACTTCATGAGCAGGTTAGGTATCAAAGCTGGTTGTTTGAATGGGTTCGTGCCCAAGATTCCATACCAATGCCATATATAGCGTCTTCATCTTTGGAATCTGAATCAACACATGGTCATAATGCACACTAATGCAGGTGCAATGCTAGTTACAATTTTGCTCCTATCGAGAATAGCCAGCATCTAAGGATGGACCATGGGCCTATTGGCAAAATCTATTAAGAAGAAAATTACAAGGTTCAGGAGGTATTGGGAAGCCATTGCAACACTAAATGGTTGCTGAGGATACCTCATTACTGACCAAGGCACAATAGACTAGTACCTATGGTCTAATGGCAAGCCAGAGCCCAGAAGGGAGGCATTAACTTGTTAGATTGAGTTGTACAACTTCCACACACCACATAAAACCCTACAAATTACAAGCACATAATCTGCTACACTTGATTTAGGTATAGCACCAAGCAGTCAAGCACCTTTGACAAGCATGAAGCATGACCTTCAGCTTAAGCACTAAAGAAGGTTTACACAGGATAACTGCATAGCAAGGTTCAGAAGTATCATATCATATTGCATAGCTCATCCCCCAAGCCAGGTGCAGACGGGATTTGACCCCAAGTCTCCGCAGTGTGATTTCATGGCTTCAAATCACAACGAGCAGCCACATAAAATAAGGGGAGCGTGTCTTTGAAACCTGAAAAAAAAAGAAAATTGATTTATGGGGAAGAAAACTGTAAAAAGTGGAGAATGTCCTTTGAAACACCCAATACGCATGAACAATGGTCAAAACATTAAAAAAATCAACTATTCAAATAGGGAGCATTGCATAAGTGTGAGAATACTGGTTCAAGTCAAAGAGCAGCCACATTGTGCAAAGAAAAATGCTGAAGGTTGGGTATAATGGCCTTTTCATTTTTTTCTTTTGAAGATAAAAAGATAAAGCATTTATTTCAATCAACAAATTACAACACCTATGCATCCAAGATAACTGAGGCAATGCATTCAAGGGCCTCAATATCCCATTGCCGACTCCGGTTTTGAATATGAACTTGTTTTGTCAATTGGTGAGTTGCATTATTACCGTTTCTTTTCAACTATGATACCAGAAAAGGTCGCAGCCAATCAACTGCTATCATAAAAGAGGTGACCAACTAGGTGCTATTCATCAAAATTTACGGGTGCTTTAATTAGTCAAAACTCTTATTTTATCATGTCTTTCCGGTGTCAAAGATTTTACCAAGTGTTAATTATATATATATATATATATATATATATATATATATATATATATTTATTTATTTATTTATTTATGAGAACAAGTATCTTGGATCTTCTATGCATATGCATCTCTACCCACTTAATTGGGTAGTAGGCCCCTAAATTAGTTTAAAAGAATACTAGCAGATCGCCCCTGCGTTGTAGGGCTTGGAGAAGCTAAATTATTGTATAGAAAAAAAGAAGTTGAAAAGGTAATTTTTTGAGTGAAAGTATTTTGAAAAAAAAAATTACTTAAAATAAATAGAAATTTATGGGTAATAATATATTTAATCTAATAAAATAAAACAGCAAATAAATAATTAAATAAATAAATATTTATTTATTTAAAGAGAGTGAAAGAGGGGAAATGACTTCTGGCAACATATTTTTATTTTATAAAGTACTATAACCGTAAATAGTCAAATAATAACCTATTGAATTTAATTTAATAAACAAATAAATCTAGTACAGTAAATAAACGACTTAATGTAACTTAAATAAATAATGTGTGGTTTAAAAAGTGGGGTTTTAGTAAACTGATAAGTATTCTAATGGAGTTGGCAGTATTTTGTATTTAAAACTATTTGAAGCCAATTGCCGCTTTTTTTTATTAAATGAGAAGGTTATTAGCTTGAAGTAATTTGGCACGGCTGAACCAGTAAACATTAGATGTGCAATTACAAGAAGTACTCACCATAATGCACATCAGCACACATTAAGAGAGTAATAAGTAAGAAAAGAAAAAAGCAATAGCAAGAGGAGAAGAATAACAAATGCAAATATTGGCGACAAAATGGAATAGTAAAATCAGATCCCCGGATTTAGTCCGATTGGAACAGTCACTGCATTGATGGTGGGTCATAAATTCACTGGAACCAATGTGGGGAAGTCTAGTCAACGAGTACACGTGTAAATGAAACAAGTGTTGAGTTCGTGCGGGTTTGGGATCAAGCACACGTGTAATTGGAGCATTGGGACTGTGTGGGTTTGGAATCAATGTCGTATATTGGGAACATTTTCTGATGATAACATCACCATTTCTAATACTATCATTGGAAGATGTTCTCAATACACAGTTGGGATGTGTTATAAAATGTTGTGGGGCGCCCCCTTTGTGAGACTCAGATGTGAATTAGGAAAAGAACCATAAAACGACTGAGTGGATAAAATGAGAGGGGCAGAAATTTAATAGTGGCGTTGTAATTAAGTAGATGATTATTGAGAAATATGAAAAGAGATGTAAAAGGACAAAAAGAGATTTAAAATATTGGTGTAAACGATAGAACGAATAGAAAAAGAACGACAGAGGCAGGAATTTAACAATGGCGTTGTTGTAATTATGTAGATGATTACGGAGAAATATGAAAGAGGGGGAATAGGTTATCATTTCGTCTGTCTTATTCAATGGCAAAATTGTAAAAAACTAAAGAATTAAGTAATCAGCCCCCCAATGCAGAATTCTGAATGACAGCCCCCCAATGCAGAATTCTGAATGACAGCCCCCCAATGCAGAATTCTGAATGACATCCCCATAGTCTACTAGTAGCTCACTGTGAATCGCATGCTATTTGTCAATTTGGCATCAATTCACGGTCAGGATTTATTCTTCTTGTATGGTGGGGTTACAAAATTCTGACCTTGAACTGATCAGTCATTCTTCCAAAATTAAATATAAAGGCACGCTGGCAAGGCACTATTCACACTGCCCTAAAGTTTTCATTTAACCTAATTTCGAAGAGAGGCATAGTTTATATTCTTCTTTTTCGCAATTAAGGGCCTGTTCATTTTCTCTTAACTCTTATTTCTTAAAAGGAATCTTTTAACTTTAAGAAAAAAATATTTGTTCGTTTCCTCTTATTTTTTATCTCTTAAAAGTGCAATCATACAACTTTTTGTTTTCTAATAATACCTCCAAGAAAACAAACAAAAACTCTAATATATAGAGTTAAAATGGATATTTGATAATTTTCAAATGTTAGACTTCAGCAAATGAAGGAGAAGGTAAGAGAGACACAGCCGATACGTATCGCTTCGAAAGAATTCTGATATACGACCAATGGACGTCACTAAATGCTAATATAATTTAATTAAATGCTCATTTAAGTTACCTTTGATTACAACATTTAATAATGTCATTAAATGTTATTTAAGTGAAATAACTTGTTAAAAATCACAAACCAAATGTAACAAGTTTCAAACCCAAGTCATTTGTTTATAACAATAATTAATTAACCGTTATGCCAACATTAATTACTTATTACAATGACATGTCTTTTTATACTTAAAGTAATATTTCTTGCCTTGGTGGATGTTTCCCAACAAATGCTATAAATTTGATTATTAATATTTATTATAATAATAAGATGAATACAAGTTATATTGATTTATTAAAAATTAAGGTATATATTAACTTGTATACATAATAAATATTAACTAATAAATGATTTCAAAAAAAATATTAACTAATAAATATTAGTATATATACAAACATTTTTGTTCTTCTATTATTTTCCAGTGGTTACTAATTATATCCTGATACTTTATATAAATCATTAAAGAATGGTTTTTATGTTTAAATAAATTAGTTATATTCACATAAAACTCACTTTTACTATTGTTCATATTTTTAAGGATTTTTTTTGGATTTTCTAGTGTATACATGCGTATCTTGATTTTTCGTCTATATTTATACATTTTCAAAACGTATCTCAATACATCTCTTAAAATTACCTTTCTGATACTTTGAACCTTGATATATATATATTAATTGTCCCCGAATCCCCAGCAACTCATTAAACATTTAATGGGCTTATTGTTGAACCCAATTTAAATGGGCAGTAAAGAGATGGTTTCCCACTTCTTTAAATGGGATGTCACTTGCTTTCTGATAGAGAGAAGACTCCTTTCCTAAGTTCCTCTTCAAATGGGATAATTCATTGCACATAAGAAGGGGAGTGAGTGTTCTGATTAATAAATGGATTGCAAGGTGCCAATCAGCTGGTTGGTAATTCATAGCACTTCTCCTACTGATCGTAGTGGAGATTTGGAATCTAATCCCGCCTCTACCTGGGTTGATGGGGTTATGGATTGGGGGATGCCCCCCTCCCCCAGTTGTATAACCCTTCAARAAAAAATGGATTGCATAGCCCGGTTGGTGCTTAACACTGGCATGTTCATTCATGATTGGTCACATAGGTTTGCACATTTGTATTTGCAGCAGATCCTATACCAACTGGACCAGGCCAGGCTGAGCACATAGGCGCTGCCGAGTTGCGACGAAGGAAGTAGGAACAACCCCTGTTTTGGCACAACTTATGAAGTCGTTCCTATGTCTTTGTCTTGAACCTGAAACTTGCTGGCCAATGATGGATTAGCTAACCTCTACCCGTTTACAAATTTATTCTTCTGACTTCACAGGCTGCAACCTATTTTCAGAACTGACTTCTGCCTAGTAAATCTATTATCTATATAGTGAGATTCATTTAAATGGTGGGGCCTGATCTAACCTGATGGTTGAAATAGTCACTCAACTCGCTCTCACTGTGGGCCTCTTGTGCATTCTGCTCTGTCTCCATCCCTGAGCCCTTGTCAACCTCTATGACCTTTTGACCACCGACTGTTATGAGATACCAAAAA